CCCAACCCAAAGGTCACCCCAAAGAAGATGTTGTGTCAGTAGCAGACACGGAATAACGCGACACCCACTTTTTTTGTCCCTCCTGTCCTGGTCAACCTGGTCTCTACCTCAAGGACTGCTTCCGTTGCAACCATACGCTAGTGGAGTATTAATATATGGTACAGCATGGCACAGTTCAGAGCACAAATTCACCGTTCTCACAAAGGGTCTCAAAAGATGATAGATAGTCAGGAAACTGTCCATCACATTTTGAGAGACCTGAAACTCAGAGGTTGTTACAAAAAAAAGTAAAAAAAAATAAATGAAAGTTAAAAAAAACAGTGGTTGCACCATGCATGTGAGGTATCACCACAAATGTCAGATCAAGGGCAGTAATTCTAGCACTAGACCTCTGTCAATCTAAAATGGTGGCTTGTAAAGGTTTTTAAAACGTTGCCTATGAATATTAAAAATGTGTGCAGTTTGTCGCCATTGTACGGGGCATGTGCAGCTTTAAAGCATGCCATGCTTGGTATCTATTTTACTCGGCATCATCTTTTATATTTTACCAAATAATTGGCCAATCAATTGTGTTTATGTGCATTAAAAGTAAAAAAAAGTGTATTTTTTTTAAAAAATCGCTGCACGACTACTGTGACATAAAAAATTGCAGCACCCACCATTTTATTCACTAGGGTGTTTGCTGTAAAAAAATATATAATGTTTGGGGGTTCAAAGTAATTTCCTAGCAAAAATATACATGATTTTTTTTATGCGAACAAAAAGTGTCAGAAAAGGGTTGGTCTTCAGGTGGTTAGAAGAGTGAGTGATGTGTGGCATAAACTTCTAATGCTGGGCATAAAATGCCCCCACCCCCCAAAATGACCCCTTTTTGGAAAGTAGACACCCCAAGCTATTTGCTGAGAGGCATGTTGAGTCAATAGAAGAATTTATTTTTTTACAACAAGGTTTTTGAAAAATGACAAAAAAAAATAAAAAAATGTTTATACAAAATTGTCACTTAAATGATTTATTGCTCACACGTGCCATGGGTATATGTGGATTGCTCGCCAAAATACATTCTGCTACTTCTCCTGAGTATGTGGGTACTACTTTATACTCAACTTAGATATTCTGAACTTTATACTCAACTAAGGGGGTAACCTCTTCTACAGTTCCTCCGGGTTGGGTGGACTCTGTCTGGAGGTACTAAATGAGCGGTAGGCGACAGATTTCTGGAAGGCTCCATATATAACTGTTTTTGTTTTAGTTTTTGTTTTTGTTTTGTTTTTTTTTTTAATTTTTTTTTTCTTCTATTTCTTCCCTCCTCCTCCTCCCCCCCCCCCCCCCCCCCCTGCTTTCTCTATTTCATTTTTGTTCTTCACTTTATGCTTTTTTGACTGGTTAAGAAAAAGTTGTTTGTTATTGACTCTGTTCATGGGAGGGTATGGATGATTGTATTTTTCTTGTTTATTACATTCATAGTACCAACCTCTCCTGATAAGTGAGCTTTCTGTCCTATCATGCTTATTATTCAATGCTGATTGTCAACTATAAGAGCTTAATAAAATTCAAATGGTGGAAAAAAAAATACACCCGAAAGAAATCTCTATTTGTGTGAAAAAAAAGGACATAAATTTAATTTATGTACATCATTGCATGACCGCGCAATTGTCATGTAAACGAATCCAGCGCTGTATAGCAAAAAATGGCGTAAATTGCAGTATCTATACCATAGTTTGTAGACGCTATAACTTTCACACAAAGCAATCAATATACACTTATTGGGATTTTTTTTTTTTTTACCAAAAACATGTAGCAGAATACATTTTGGCCTAAATGTATGACTAACTTTGAGTTTACTATGTATTTTTTATAGCCGAAAGTAAAAAAATATCTTTTTTTTTTTTTTTCAAAACTTTCATTCTTTTTTTGTTTATAGCTCAAAAAATAAAAAGCGCAGAGCTGATCAAATACCAGAAAGCTCTATTGGTGTGAAAAAAAGGACGTAAATTTCATTTGGGTGCAGCATTGCATGACCGCGCAATTACCAGTTGAAATAGTGCAGCGCTGAATAGCAAAAAAAGGCCTGCTCAGGAAGGGGAGTAAATCCTCAGGAGGGCAAGCGGTTAAACAGTATAGTATACTTGCATTAAAAAATCGGGTGACCAAGACCGCGCATGCTTAGAAACAATAGAATACGTTAAATTACAATATATTGCATCATCGCAGGAAGTTGTATTCGGTTCTACGAGAATGTTCTTAACGCTAGTAACCTATTCATTTTCAAAAAAAAAAAAAAAAAATGGACGATCATTCATCAGATATTCTCATTGTGTGTACAAGGATTAAAGCGATTCTAAAGGTACTTTTTAAAAAAAAAAAAAAAAAATCAAGCATGTCTGTACTTCCCTGCTGTGTGTAGTGGTTCGTCTTCTCGGGTCCCCCACAGGCTCTCCTGGCCCCTCCCTCCTGCCGGGTGCCCAAACAGCAAGCAGCTTGCTATGGGAGCACCCGCTGCTCTGTGTGTCCATTCACACACGGAGCCGCTGCTTGGCCCTGCCCCCTCTCACTCCTCATTGGGAAGTGATTGACAGCAACAAGAGCCAATGGCTCCCACTTGTTGTCTCAGCCAATGAGGAGACAGAGACCCAGGACAGCCGAGGCTGTGGTTCACATTGCTGCATTGCGATGAGGCTCAGGTAAGTATTGAGTGGGCTGGGGGTACTGCTGCACACACAAAGATGTTTTACCTTCATGCATTACTTTTTACCTTCAGCCTTTACAACCGCTTTAAAGCTCCATTCACACTTCTGTGACTCTAAAGTCGTGCAATCTCCATTGTGACTTTACATTGCAACTTTAGGTGGGTGCAACTTGGATGTGACTTTGGCTGTTGACTCTGGCTTTGACTGTTGCACAACTGTCGCCTTGAAAACATTAAGATGCGACTTTCATGCAACTTTTCAGAGTTTGCATTGCAGTCAATGGAACTCAAATCACATGAAAGTCACATCAAAGTAGCACAGGAATATTTTTAAAGTCGCAGTGACTTTAAGTTGTATGGATTTGAACAGCTTCCATTGAAATAAATGGGCTGCGACTTGTCATGCGACTTTAGGGGCTAGATTTCCTAAAGGCCAATAGACTCTGCATTTTGCAAAGCATAGTTGCACTTTGCAACTGCAGTTGCTCCAGAGCTTAGTAAATGAGCAGAATCTCTGCTGTCTTCCATCATCCAATCATGTGCAAGCAAATATGTTTTTTTTTTTAAATTATTATTTTCCTTGCACATGATTGGCAAAGTGAAACTTTACCTCATTTACTAAGCTCTGGGGCAACTGCACTTGGTGAGGGCAACCACACTTTGCAAAGTGCACAGTCTATTTGCCTTTAGTAAATCAACCCCAATGTGTTCAAAGTCGCATGACGAGTCTTGCAAGCGTGAATGGAGCCCAATGGACAGAAAACTTTTGCAGATCAGTAGAGGCTTCAGCAGGAGGACAAGGGGGGAGATTCACTAAAACAAGAGAGTGCAAAATCTGGTGCAACTGTGCATCAGTAGTCAATCAGCTTCTAACTTCAGCTTGTTCGGTTAGGCTTTGGCAATTAAACCTGGAAGCTGATTGGTTTCTATGCAGAGCTGCACCAGATTCTGCACTATCCAGTTTTAGTAAATCAACCCCAATGCATCCTATTATCTTTTTTTTTCTGCAAAGGGATGAAGAGAAGAGTTACTATACTGGGATAATATATCCTGTCACCAATGCATCCATATATGTTGTCACCAATGCATCCATATATGTTGTCACCAATGCATCCATATATGTTGTCATTTATTTTTATTTCAGGTACTTATATTGCGCCATCAATTTATGCAGCACTTTACATACAGTATATATTGTATATTCACATCAGTACCTAACCCCCAACGAGTGTACAATCTAAGGTCTCTAACTCACATTCATACATACACATATTAGGGCCAATTTAGACAGGATCCAATTAACGTACCAGCATGTTTTTGGAGTGTGGGAGGAAACAGGAATACCCGGAGGAAACCCACGCAGGCACAGGGAGAACATGCAAACTCCAGGCAGGTGGTGCTGTGGTTGGGATTCGAACCAACGACCCTAGTATTAATATATCCTGTCATCAATGCATCCATATATGTTGTCACCAATGTATCCATATATGCTGTCATTTATTTGTATTTATTTATTTCAGGTACTTATATAGCGCTGTCAATTTACACAGCACTTTACATATATATTGTACATTCACATCAGTCCCTAACCCTCAAGGGGTGTACAATATAAGGTCCCTAACTCACATTCATACATACACATACTAGGGATAATTTAGACAGGAGCCAATTAACGTACCAGCATGTCTTTGGAGTGTTGGAGGAAACCGGAGTACCCGGAGGAAACCCATGCAGGCACAGGGAGAACATGCAAACTCCAGGCAGGTGGTGCTGTGGTTGGGATTCGAACCAACGACCCTAGTATTAATATATCCTGTCATCAATGTATCCATATATGTTGTCATCAATGTATCAATATATGTTGTCATTAATGTATCCATATATTCTGTCATCAATGTATCAACTGTATCAATGGATCTTTCTGCGTTATGTGAAAGAACCAATCAGTTGCAAGCTGTGAGCAGCACAGCAGTGTCTCTTGCAGTGAATGAAGCAGACTGCTGGGCTGCGCTAGGACAGGGAATCATGACAGGGATGACATTACAGTATTCCAGCTCCCTCTCCTCCCTCCTCCTCTTTCTTCTTGCTGCATCAATCAGGGCAAAAAAGAAAAAAAAAGTCCTGATCCCTGTATGTCTGTATTTCTGTATTTCCAGCTGCAAGGCTGCCTCTCAGTGGATGGGAGCAATCTGTCAATGCAGCCAAGGGAGCCTCCTCCATGCGGATCGAGTTTCCTATGATTGACAAGGTAACCATGGCGAATAATTTGCCTAAAACTGTTGTCTTATCCTCGCAGCCCCGGGTCAGGTAACCGACCAATCACAGCGCTCACAATCATTTTTCATGCCAGTTCAGAATAATATTATTAAAAAAAAAAGAAGAAGAAGGGAGAAGAAGAAGAAGGAGAGGAGGAGGAGGAGGAGGAGGGCAGCCAGGCAAGCAGAGCAGAGCAGACTTGTCTGGACTATGTGCAGGGGATAGGAGGGGAGGAAAGATCGCAGCCCAGCTCAGAGGAAGAAAAGTTTTTGGAAAGTTTCTTGGGACCTCCATGGCTCTTGGATGGGACTGAGTGGAGGCTTCTCCTGGATGGTGGTGGAGATCGGCGGCTGCCCAGGACCATGTCGATGCTGCCCACCTTTGGCTTCACCCAGGAGCAAGTAGCCTGTGTGTGCGAGGTGCTCCAACAAGGGGGGAACATTGAGCGCCTGGGGCGCTTCCTCTGGTCCCTGCCCGCCTGCGAGCACCTCCACAAGAACGAGAGCGTCCTGAAGGCCAAGGCGGTGGTGGCCTTCCACCGGGGCAATTTCCGAGAGCTCTACAAGATCCTGGAGGGCCACCAGTTCTCCCCGCACAACCACCCCAAGCTGCAGCAGTTGTGGCTCAAGGCTCACTACATCGAGGCGGAGAAGCTGAGAGGGCGCCCCCTAGGAGCGGTGGGCAAGTACCGGGTGCGCAGAAAGTTCCCCCTGCCCCGGTCCATCTGGGACGGAGAGGAGACCAGCTATTGCTTCAAGGAGAAGAGCAGGAGTGTGCTGAGGGAATGGTATGCCCACAATCCCTACCCTTCCCCCAGGGAAAAGAGGGAACTGGCCGAGGCCACTGGACTCACCACCACCCAGGTCAGCAACTGGTTCAAAAACAGGAGGCAGAGGGACCGGGCGGCCGAGGCCAAGGAAAGGTACGAGTAAGTACTACTGGCATTTTACTCTTGGCAGTGGGCGCATTGTTGGCTCAGCCATCATTCACACATCCATCATTGGCACAACAGCCATTGCTACAACCTTCATTGGCACACATATGGTTGCCACAATCGTCATTGACCCCTCCATGGTTCCCACAACCATCATTGATACAACAATCACTGGCACAACTTTGATTGACCCCCCCATGGTTTCCACAACCATCATTGACACAACAATCACTGGCACAACCTTTATTGACTCCCCTATGGTTTCCACAACCATCATTGACACAACAATCACTGGCACAACCTTCATTGACTCCCCCCTGGTTGCCACAACCATCATTAACACCACAATCACTGGCACAACCTTCACTGGCACCCCCACAGTTGCCAATACCATTATTGACCCCTCCATGGTTCTCACAACCATCGTTGACCCCTCCATGGTTCTCACAAACATCATTGACTCCCCCATGGTTGCCACAACCCTCTTTGACCCCTTCATGGTTCCAACAACCATCATTTACTCCCCCATGGTTGCCATCATTGGCACAACATCCATTGGCACAACCTTCATCAGCACCCCCAGAGTTGCCAGAGTCATAATTGGCACCCCCATGGTTGCCACAACTATAATTGACCCCTCCATGGTTGCCACAACAGCCATTGACTTCCCCATAGTTGCCACAACTATCATTGGCACCCACATTGTTGCCGCAACCATCTTTGTCTCCCACATCATTGCCACAACAACCATCATTGGCACATCCATCATTAGCACCCCCATCATTGTTGCAGCCATCACTGGCAACCCCATCACTATCACAACTATCATTGGCATCCCCATCATTGCCACAACCATTATTGGCAGTCCCATTACTAGCACAATTATCACTGGCACCCCCACTGTTATCACAACCATCATTTTCACAGATATCACTGGCACCCCATCATTGTCACAACATCAATGGCACCCCATCCTCACCACAACTATCATTGGCACCGCTATCATTTTCACAGTCATAATCGGCACCCCCATCTTTGCCACAACCATCATTGACACTGCTATCACTGTTACAACCATTATTGGCAACCCCATCACTAGTACAGCTATCAGTGGTACCTCTATTGTTACCACAACCATCATTTTCACTGTCATCATTGGCACAATCATCATTTATACCCCCTCCTTGGCACTATCATCATTGATACCCCATCATTGCCGCACCATTCATTGGCACCCTTATTGTGGCCACCACCATCATTAGCACTCCATGTCTATCCTTTCCTGAAAAACTCCAGCTGTGTAGAAGCTGGTAGGGTTAGCCTACCATGGGTGAAGCTACTATACTATCACAAAGCGCATAGAATATTAATGTAACTAAGATACAACTAATTTATTATAACCTTTAGAACCACATGTCCCAGTTGGTGGGCACATTGTATTTAATGCAACTATAGATATTCTTTCCTGGATACCTTCAGCTGCTGTAGACTGTTTCAGTCGCTGGGACTAGCCTGGCATGCTATCAATCACATATATACACTCAAATACTACTAGTATTAAATACTGGCACCATGGGGCACAGATGCCCAGCTGGTGTAGAGTGTAGAAGGTGGTAGGGCTAGCCTGCCATGGTGGGACTTACACTTCTACACCAACTCAAGAGTCACTAGTTGTGAGGACAAAAAGTCTGCTGAATACTGGCAGCACATGGAGCAACTTCTTCAATGTCACCATGTATACCCCATATCTAGAGATCTCCAGATGGTGTAGAAGCTGGTGGGGCCAGCCTGCCATGGTGGGACTTACAATTCCATACCCATACAAAAGTCACGGAATACTGAATGCTGGCACCACAGGGCACAACCAACTTGTAACCATGGATGTCCTTTCTTGGTAGGGCTAACATTGCATGGTGGGAATTACACTTCTACACCAACTCAAGAGTCACTAGTTGGCAGGGCACAAAGCCCATGAAATTACTGCCACCACTGGACACAATTTAGAACCACGTGTCCCAGCTGGTAAGGTACTACTTAATAATGCAACTATATATACTTTCCTAGAGATCTCCAGTCAGTGTAGAACCACATGTCCCAGCTGGTAGGATACTACTTTTTTTTAATGCAACTTAATATGCTTTCCTAGAGATCTCCAGGCAGTGTAGAACTACATGTTCCAGCTAGTAGGATACTACTTATTTAATGCAACTTAATATGATTTCCTAGAGATCTCCAGGCAGTGTAGAACTACATGTTCCAGCTGGTAGGGCTAGCCTAGCATGCAACGATTACCATTTCTACATTCATCTTAAAAGATCTTCGTTGACAGTGGGCATGGAATACTGGATCCTGGTACCACCGGGTTCTACTTGTTTAATGAAACCATAGATATCATTTCCAGGGGATTTACAGCTGATGTAGAACTACATGTCCCAGCTGGCAAAAAGGGTCCTCCAAGACTCTGCTATGGGACCTGGAGGATAATACTCAGAAATGATCATGGGAGGTTGCAAACGTTCAGACAGAACTGGAGCTATTTAGAAAGTTTTAAACAGAACTGTTTTAAAAATAATGATACTTTGTATAACTAACCATATAATATTAAAAAATATAAATAAAAACAATGTTAAAAATATGACCATGTCTAAACTCAAAGATTGCCTGAGAAAGTTGTGGGCAAAACCCTTTAGGAGGTATAAAAATGATAAAAAATGATAATACCCTTTAAAAACAACCATTTCAAAGTTTTATAAAACACGGATTATATAAAAGAACACCCCATGGAAGGATTATCTATTAGGTATTGTATTTAAAGCTGTAATTTTTTTTTATATATTATCTTAATTTTTCTAATATAAATACTCTTTAGAAATGGTCTTGCTACATATATAAGGAAGACTATCTATGCTATAGAAGTATACATTACTTCTGTATAGTAAAAGAAATATTATACAAAAGTGGCCAAATAATTCTAATATTTTACAGAATTTACAATTAATTAGCGAGGTTTTCCTAGAGCCCTGGCCATACTATTCTGTAATTAATACTATAGAGAACTGGCGACAAACATTTTTGAGGATATTATGCTGAATTAGCCAAGACGTCGTCAGGATACACTTTTTTATGTTCAAATTTCTATGTAGAAATGTCCATACGGTGTATTCGATATATCCCAGAAATAACTTATATTTATCAATGACCATACAATCTTAAAATTATTTCTTCCTGGACATTTATTGAATATATTATATTAAATTTGCCACGAAATGTTCAGAATATAAGACAACTCTTTGGATACTGGTTACTGTTATTCGGTATATTTACCCATTCAATATAACCATTATATATTTTAATCATATATTATTATTATTATACAGGATTTATATAGCGCCAACAGTTTGCTCAGCGCTAATCATATATATCATATGTATTCAATATTCAATACACGTTAAATATATATTATTCGGAAGATAACATTTACAAATTACCATAAATATTGATGATTTTTGTAAACTGACATACTTTGAATATATTAATTTAAATTAGCCACGGAAGGTTGAGAATATAATAAAGAAATGCTTAATGGAGCTCACTTCTAAAACAACGATTACATTATGGAGGTGAATCGTTCTGCTGCATGTGTTTTTAAATATGAGTGATTCACCACCAGCGAATATTTTATATAGTCGCAATGGGGGTTATTTACTAAAATTGGAGAGTGAAACATCTGGTGCAACTCTGCATAGAAACCAATCAGCTTCCAGTTTTTATTGTTAAAGCTTAACTGAACAGTCTGAAATTAGAAGCTGATTGGCTCCCATGCAAAACTGCACCAGAGAGCTCCAGTTTTGGTAAATCTCCCCCTCTGTCATAAATACTGAGGATCAAGCTGTGTGACATCCATTTAGAGGACCATGTACAGCTGATCAGGGAACATAAGAGAACTACATTTGCAAAACTGAGGTTATAATCAATTAGGCAGGGGAGATCAGATCCTATATATTTGTTTTAATCGAATTCTGAGAATTCTGTATGGCAGCACATAATATAATAAATACTTATATAAGTGGTCTTAAGGACTTTACAACCAGGAACATTACATAGAACTACATTGATAATACTGATCATTTTAATACAGAACTGGCTATTGAATATGTATTATATAAAGACAAATCATAAGAATTATTGTGCATTGGGTTGCTTAGATCAGGACAGCCCCAGGCATACCCCAAGTGCTGCTCCAGAAACATCTATGAGTCTTCTATGGTATAGGTTGGTGCTATGTGCTGCCTAGGCAGCCAGTGTGAGCAGCTGTACTGCTGTGTGCCTGTCACAGAGGACACCCCATCCCACGCCTGCCCTCACTCACCTACCTCATTAGGCTCCAGCTTTCACTGGATGGCAATATAACTCCCTCATCATGTAATGATGATGGACATGAACTACTCAGTGTCAGGTCAGATAGCAAACATATCATTTAATGATTATTACAATCAACTTACAGGCTGGGGGCTGGGGGCCTATTAATAACACAGATACATATACATCCCTTAAAAATGGCAATGACTCTGCAGGCAGACACTCCAGTATTCTATCATTTCATCCAAGGCCCGGATTTTACTACAGTTTTGCAGTAAGACTCCTATTACAGGCCATCAGTTGGTGCCTTTTAATTCTATAAAGGATCACATCGTACCGTGTGTAGAGTTCGGACAGATCTCTGCTATTGCAGTGAAATGATAAGTGCCTTATAACTGTACAGGTTAATCAAGGGTGGGAATATTAATTAGGAAAGACTCTGGAAGGGACTATTGTAATTACACTTCTAAGATTCAGCATATTAGATATATTCACTTTTCATTACATTCGCTTTTATTATTACATTGTACAAATCCTAAATTCTCCGACGAGATGAAAACGGATTTTATGCCGTTCGAGTTCTGCAATATCATTGGAATTTTTAACATTTCCATGATGATTTTTTTCAATAATTTCAAT